ACACACACACACACACACACACACACACACACACACAAAAGGTAAACTGTGAGGTGATAGATACATTAACTTGCTTGAGGACAGTAATTATTTCATTATGTATTTGTATATTGAAACATCATGTTGCACATTTTGAACATAAACAATAAAAATAAAATTTAAAAAAGTCAAATATCACAAGTACTGAGATGATAGTAATCCTATAAAAAAGTAAGGTAGGTCATTTGGTCTGGATTTCTTATGTTTTTCCTTACTCAGACTATTAGTTCTAAGAGGTGATCAGACGCAGTGTTCAAATGTTAACCTTAAGGCTAACTTTAAATTAAATAATAACTTCTGTAATTATAATGATAAAATCATCTGTAGCCAAGTCGATATTGGCTGCACAACATTAAGCTTCTTACTGAAAATTTTATTTTATTAGTCATTCATAACTTCACAAAACATACCAGAAAGGTAACTTATTTGTCCTATAAAAAGTTAAGTAAAAATGTACACTCCTAAGTTATAGATATCTCACCATCCATTATTTTGGCCAAATATGGGTTTCATGTTTTCGAGGGCATTATTTCTTACAAGATCTTTTAAGAAATGTAAAAAAAAAAAATCATAACATTTTACCTTGCACTTCATTGCTATTCCCTATCTTAAATTCCCCTTTTACATCTGATATTTTGTTTCTAAAAGGAAAATAACTAATCCAACAAGTGAAAATTGAGTCAAAACAATAAACTTAGTGCTTGGGTGAAAATAACTCTATAGGTTAAAAAAAATTATTTAATGTAGGTAAAAAAAAAAGTGAGACATGCAAAAATAAAAAAATTATAGTGAAATAGCAAATGTGATAAATGTCAGTAGTAAGCAATAAAAGAGAAGTTTAAAGAAGGCACAGATTTGTTTGTGAAGTCATGGAGAATTGCGGTTTATACAAATCCTCCAAGATGGGTAAAATCTGGAGATCTGGAAACAAGCACAACCAAAAAAATTCAACAAAGAAAAAAGCATAAGGACCATTCTGTGAAGAGCAATCTGATCACAGTTTGAATGGACTAATAGTAAGGGAAGAACTTAAACTATTTTCCTGTATCCTCCTCTCCTATTAACTGCCTTTAAGGAAAGGAAAAAAAAAAAAAAACAGTTGTAGAAACTCTTCAAATATGTCCAATACTTCATATCCAATGACACTTGTCCAATGAATATGTTATATGTACCTAAACAGATTAAAACTTTCCCCCAAATGTAATAGTACATGGTCTAGGAAAGGCAGTTTACCGAATTTCAGTATGAAGTGGATTAAATCTCATAAGTCAATATTTCAATGATGGCAGCAATTTTGAAAAAAAAAAAAAAAAAAAAATCTAGAAACCCGGAATAAGAAAGTACGGTATTTTGGAAGTCTAAGATCAGGTTTGCCACCAATTCTGCATTATGCCTCACTTCCCAAGTAAATATGATAATGCTTGAAACAACCACTGAGTTATTGCTCAGTTTCAAGAACAGATTCAGTAATGTTGCCTACAGTTCCTAACAGGCCAGGCTTACCAATATGCTGGAATATATTAAAATTACCAAATTTAAAATTAATGGTAATTCTGGTTCTAAAGAAAATTCAAGTGAAATTCCAAGACAGTAATTATAGATTTAGCTGTAATTGCTACTAAGGAGAAGTAGATGGATATTTTTAAACATGGTGGCCAAAAATTATAGCACAGCTATAAGAAAACACAGCAGAAGATGTAATAACCTGGTGGGAAGTTAGCAAAATTAGGACTGTACTTTTTAATTAAAGGATCTAAGCTGAGATTAGAGACTAGTAAAAACAGTGAAAGACTTGAAAACACAGGACACAAATCAAATAGTAATCTTTTGGGGGGTATACCATTACAAAGAGGGTCACAGGGTCATCAACTTGGAACATAAGAATGACAATCAGAACAAGAATGAGCATCAGCGACGTCATTATGAAGTGTGAAAGTCAGAAATATAAGAGAATCCTTTAATAACTCTGGTATTCTCTGAACTTCTCAAAGGCAGAGAACATATCTTGTTCACACTTTAACCTGTAAACACCCAGCATAATGCTTAGCTTATAACAGGTGTTCCATGTTTAATGAAGTAAGCAGTTAGTTACAATAACTATGACATTTCATATTTTTAGTATGTCTACCATGTGGAATTCTATTGTTTTAGAACTGTTATTTGTTTTATGGTCAAAATCTGAATAACAAGCCTCATTATGATAGGTCCTCATATAAACACTAAATATCCATTCTGATCCTCAATGTTTTACTAATTTTTGCTATATTTTAAGTGAGTAATTGACATTCTATGTCATTAACATAAGAATTTAAATTCTATTTGTAACTCAGATCACTGACTTCTATATGTATTATGTATAAACACTTAAACTGCCCTAAAATAAGATCACTTCAATGTCCTTTCAACTCTGTAATTTTTCAAGAGATGGAGCCCTCAATTTATTTAATGAGAGAACTGGAAGGTCATTTTCACCTAAAGTTCAATTTCTTGCTATATAAAAATAACTTGACAGACTGATGAACTAGAATAACTTATAAGTCAATCATGTTGTGTGCATGATGCTAAAATAACCTTAAAACAGAAATTCAGTTATTTGGGGGCCGGCCCGGTGGCGCACTGGATAAGTGCGCCGCTTGGGAAGCGCTGCGGCGCTCCCGCCCGAGGGTTCGGATCCCACATACAGACCGGTTCCCGCTCACTGGCTGAGTGAGGCGCGGGAGGTCCCCGGTCCGGTACGGGGGCAACACTGAGGGTTGCGATCCGTTGCCGGACACGGAAAAAGACAAAAGACAAAAAAAAAAAAAATAAGAAAGAAATTCAGTTATTTGATAAAAGCAACAATTCAATGTCTAAAATCACAAATAGAAATTACTCGTTTTTAGGCTTTCAGGGAACTCATTGTCCATTATTTCATATAGAAACACACAACTTTAAAGCCAGAGAAAACCTTGGAAGGTCTAGTCCAGTATTTCTTAATCCTTTTTTCACTATTACATCCTCAAGGATACTTTCTAGGCTTCTTTTTTTATTTTAATCTAATTACCTTCTCCCTCCATGAAATTTTAATACCAAATACATACTACATATCTGTTTATAGCTATATGTATATCTATTCTTTATACACAAAGAGGGTAAGATTTTTTTTCACACTCCCAAGAACCAATTTTTGTCACCATTAAAAATCATTTCATTTTCCAGGCAAGGACACTTAAGTTCAGAAAATATTATATTACCTACCTGCCCAAAACAATGTCAGAGGATCAAACAACTCCAACTCCAAAAATTACTGGTGAATTGATTAATGGACAAACTGCCAGTTAACTAGATACCAATTATACATTAAAGATAACTACTATTATCTTTTGGTTATTTTTATTTTCACAAGAAGATAGTCAAGACAATATAACCTAAATCAGTCAATTGTGTGTTCTTTTAAGCAGCTGGTTTTACAGAAGCCAAAGTGAATGGCTAAAATGGATTCTTATTATATTAAAATAACGTTATTCCATACATCCCCAAATATCCTACCTCTTGTCCTTAAAACAATTACTTCAAAATATTTATCAAATATTATTATCAAATAATATAATCAAATAATATTATCAAAACAGCAGAATAATTCAGAATTTTTAAAGAAGAGATGTAAAAATACATTTCCTAAATTAAAATTCAAGTTCTTAAGAAAATGATTTACTGTGTTAAATTATTTCGAAGTGAAAAGTCCCAATATACAGCCACGACTAGGCAAGCTGCTGCCACTGCTCCAGGCCCTGCCAGGGTCCAGAGGCGTGGAGCCGTGGGAAGCCGAACCCAGACACAACCAGGTAAAGATCACACCAAAAACACCATTTTCATGTGGGTAGCCAATGCCACCAAAGCCACCGCAATTGCAGGTTGCCACAAAAGCGGCTAGCCTCTATAGCAGCAGTCACAGCCACTGTGCAGATGGCATGCCAGACTCTCAATTGCATTGACACAAGGAGAGGTATCGGCGGAGACCAAAAACAAAAACTAAAGAAGAGGTCCTCTCTCTCCACAAAGCACACTCCAGAGTAATAGAAGAAGCATCTGATTTATGATAATAGGGGAGGACTTGATCACACTTCAGTACTGGACAGATCTTCTAGGCAACAAACCAACAGAGGAACAGTTAATCTATCATATGGAGAGAACAAATCTATGGTTATTAGAGGGGGAAGGGGGAAGAGGGAGGGGGAGGCGGAAGGGGAAAGATTTGATAAGGAGGATAAAGAATAAGTATGATTTGTAACAATGAAGATGCTAATAAATAATAATAAAAAAACCTGCCAATATACAGAATTCTCCTTCTAATTCCTAGATACATTTTTGACTTAGTGGTTATTTTAGACTAAGTAATTATTAGCCTTATTTATAGTCTTACCAGTTCTGTCATATGATTCATGACATGTGCGTGCAATTTCTGCCCCTAGTTCTAAATAATGACCAGCTTTATCTGTTCTGGAACCATCTGCTCCTAGTGCAAACATTCCCCCAGCAAAGCAGGCCAAATGCCCCATCTTCTTTTCCAAGTGTCCATTCTTCCATTCTCCTATAAAGACAAGACCTCCACGGGACTTCTTAATAAGATGTTTTTCTATAGCCTGTAAGAAAGAGAAAACATTCAAAATTTTAGAAGCAAACTGTTAGTGTCCAAACTTATATCCTTCTGGCTATCATAAAATATATATGGTAATATGATATTACATAAAGCAGAAACTTTCCCAAACTGGGAGGCTTAATTTACATTAAGTTAGTTTTGGAATGAGTGATCAACTTGCATATAACATGGAACAAATACCCTAATCACTACTGTATGAGATGGAGTGAGAGAGGAGAGACTTGGCCTAAATATTACCTTTGTACATAACACTGCCCATTACAGGCTTTGTCTTCTTGAGCTAAATGAAATTCATAATAACCAGCCAACTGAGATCATGATGATAAGTTTCTAACAAAGGCTTTACCAATTTATTTTCTATTTCATACAACAAAAAGTGAACAGGAAGAATACCCAAGTTAATTAAAAACTATGATTTTAATAATTAGTCAAAAACAGTTCCTCATTTTCTATGCAACCATACCACTTGGGAAAGCACCTTTAAAAGGCACCATTAGGTAAGAAAACCTTATATATTATAAGCTTTCAAAACTAGTTCAAAATTTAAATACTTATCCCTTAACTTCTTAGTCCCTTACTTCTCAAACTTATGCGTTTGTTTTGGATGCTGTGCCATGGATAAGAGTAGCTACGTGATAAACACAGTCCATCCTCCAGGAATGACAATTTTACTCAAAAGATGTGGGATGGTGAGAAAAATATTCTATATTAAACTTGCATAACATAGAGTATAACAATCACATTTCATTTTAAAAATAAGATTTTTAAGAGCTTTGCTCCTTTGGATTATGTCCTCAGACTTTGCTGCGAGGGACAATGGATTAATTCTCTACAGATATTTAGAGATATATCTACAGAAAGGTATAAGAAATTACATTAATTCAGTTCTCTCTGGTAGAAACTACTGCATATGACTAGTGACTAGACTATTCTTCCTAACAATAAAAAGGAATATTTCATCCAAGAATTAGTCCATATCTTTATTGTGGTTGTTCTCATTAACAATCAGCTTTGGAAAATATTATTTTGTATCCCCTGTAATAGATACTAGAAGTTTTACAGAAATGGATGAAATATGCCTTATTCATCATCTTATACTCCAGGAGGCCTGTAGTGTGCACTCAATAAATATTTGATTAGTAAGTAATTTAATAAATGAATGGTGCCTTAGATACTTATAGTTGACCTGTTAGGGGAATAAGAGGTGGTTGATAAACAAAATAAGGGACTACCATTGGATTACAAGATTTTTGTATTGTTGTTTTCTTTTATTTAATAAATGAATGGTGCCTTAGATACTTATAGTTGACCTGTTAGGGGAATAAGAGGTGGCTGATAAACAAAATAAGGGACTACCATTGGATTACAAGATTTTTGCATTGTTGTTTTCTTTCAACTATAGTACTTTGAAGCACAAATGAAAAAGCAGGTTTTTGGAGCACAGGGGCAATGTTTTTCATCTCTGTGGACCTCATGATACTAGAATGTTTTTCACATGTAAGATACTCCATAAGTGCCTACAGAATTATATCCATAGTTTTGGTCCTAAATTTTTATATAACATTTTTGTCATTTTGTGATTTCTGTGCTTTATAACATAAATCTTACCTTGTTATAATTAAGATAGCCAAGAATATCCCCATGGACTTACTAGGACTAAAGTAAAAGGTAGGCAAAGATGGGACATTTTACCAGTAATTCACTTATGGATCTCTGCAATTGCTCTCTTCTCTCTTAAAAACATGACAAATGCCTAAGAATTCAAATTATACGAAATGTCAAACCAGTGCATGTCAGTTAAGAGTAGTAATACTCTTGTATTAAAAGGTGTTAAACAATCTTCACTAACACTGATATTACTTTCTTGCTCCAAAAAGAGGTATATTTTTGTTCACTATTTTAAAAATTAAAGACTCAACATAAACAATCAGAACATAAGATCTATAGCTATATATAATTTTTAAAAAGAAAGTTAAGATGTAGGAACCAGGGACATGGGTATCTGCAAGTGCAGAGGAGGGTAGGGTGGGGATGGAATAATTTAAACAGAATAGCTCAGAAAAGCAAATTTTAAAAATGATTTATTACAAATTAAAATGCATCTTAAGTGTTCATTCCTATCTTTTCCACACATTCCACGTATCGTTTATTTCACAATTTGTACATATTCTGCCTCTTAACAAAATTAATAGTTATTGGAAATAATTAAACATTATAAAAACTGCACACTTGAGATCACGCCTCAAAAGAAAGTTTACCAACTATTACTAAAAAATACTTAGTAGGTAGCCATTCTGGATTTAAGAACTAATAAAAACTGGACACAGAAAATAAATATGTAAATATTTATAGGATGCGTAACTTATATAGCAGATGATTCAAAGAAAATAATTTTAATTTGTAAGGTTAACTTTCAAAACAGATATCATGCCTTTCAAGGTACAATATATACAATTTAAAAAGCAATGACAAATATAAAATAATTTTCTCTTTCCTTTGACAAAACAAAAGAAAAATGGTTTTAGATTAAGAATATTACAAGAAAGCAGCAAACTATGAAGAAAAAATGATTACATGGTATATGACATGTCGCACTTTTTCAAAAATAAAAATATTAAATATATTCATTCATTTATCAAGTACTTACTGAATACCTACTATGTTTCAGGTATCACGCTAGGTGCTGACACAATGATAAACAAATTAGCCTCTGCCCTAAGGGAGCCCACTGTCTAGTGGGAATGACTAAGGGCTATTTTCAATACTATTCTTGGAATATCAGATTTTTCCTAGTTATCCAATTTTCTTAGATCATAAAAATTTCTAGGTTTAAATTTTAATCACAAGGTATGAAACTCTCCAACTATTC